TCTCACCATTGGCCAAACCCAGAGGTTTGAATGATGCAGTTGGAGTGACGGTGTTGGTGGAATCAATGAAGTTCAGAGAGGCACAGAATATCCCTGAGAGGATGTTACTAAGTTCTTTCCAGGCTTTATCAACACTGAATGAGAAATATAAGAGGCAACAAGTTACACAACTGTTTCTCTCCCCCAAATCTATATGGGTCTGTTTGAAATTAAAAGTTTGTATAGTGTATTTGATAAATGAATAGATCATTGCAAAGAGAGCACTGTTAATAAATGTGTAAATATCACTACTGGAGCCTTAACCAGACAACAATAAAACAAGGGCTTTGGAGACAGCCAGAAAGAAATGAGGTTATTGAGCAGTGACACTGGAAGGAGGTCCATGAAAGTAAGCTAGAGATGATATTTCTCAACACACAAAGACTACAAAGGTATCATGGTTGGGGTGGGAAGAGGAGAAATAGAATCTTGTCAACGTACGGCCCACAAAATAATTACACTTGCGCCAATAGTGAATACAAATATTCTTTACAGAACATCACAGATGTGCACAGTACATTGCAAACACAGGGTCAGATCCTGGCACCCTTAGAATGAATAGCAACTTATTCCACACTTTCTTCCAGACATCTAGAACATTACAAATTCTCCCTTGTGAGTGCAGTTCTCTAACCCAAGGGAGACCACGCTGCAGCCCAATCTACAGTGCAGTGACTGTAGGTGACAGCAGATGATGGAGAACTATATGTTGGGACCTGTAGGGCCAAATTCACCAATGAAATAAATAGATGCAATGCAGTTTATTTATAGGTGTTTCTATGCCCTCATTGCCATAATATCCAAGCATGCCCATTTATGCCAGCAGATGAATCACCCCACAATATTTAGAGGCTACCGATCAGTATTAAAAATGTGAGTAACTGCAATATAGTCCATTGCGTGTCAGTCAGGTGTGGACTTTGGGCTGATGGGAAGAGGCCAGTGCCACACCATTGGGTGGGTGAAACTTGGGCATTGCCCCCAGCTGTAACTTTCTTTAAGAATGGTTACTGTGGTACCACCCAAGACACTTACTCAGTGACAGAGTCCTGGAACCAGACCCAGAGCTCGGCCCCGGCTGGAGCTTGCAAGTAGGGTTGTCCCCAGGTCCGTGTTCGCCAGAAGCCCTGAGTGAGGGACAGGTGCAGCTCTCGCACCAAGTACTTGGAGATGAGCTGACCCAGAGCCTTGGGGAAGAGCCTGTAGTGAGAGACTGCCGGGAGCAGAGTGAGCGGCACACGTGCACGGTGAGTCCAGGAGATCGTGTGCCCAGTCATCCCGTACCACCCAACGCCCCGACAGCCCTGAACCGAGCCTCAGCCCACCATTCATCCTGCCTCACTGCTCCCTGGTGCAGCACAGCCCCAGCCCCGGGCACTGAGGCAGGACGGTAACGGACCAGCTCCCCCCAGCCCAGAACAGTGCCGCCCCCCAGGTTACCAACCCCGCCCCGGGGCTCGCCCACCACAATCCAGCCCCGCCCCTCACCTCCCTCCCGGTGCAGCTCCGAGTCCCAGCGGGCCCGGAACTGGAAGGTGGCGGCGAGGTCCCCGGAAGGGAGCGGGCTGAGCAGCAGCTCCTCCCGCAGGCTGTCCCGGGGGGGCCCCGTCGAGCCGCCCGGAGACCCCAGCAGCAGCAAGAGCCCCAGCACCGCAGCTCCAGCCCCCGCCATCCTCCACACTTCCGCTTCCGGCCCGCTCACCCAATGGGGAGGCACTTCCGGCACCGACCGTCGCGAGCCTGCCGGGAAGGGCGGGGGCGGGTCGAGGGGGTTGCTCAGGGACTTCAAGCAGAAACGGGGCGGGGCCTTAGTTCAGCCCCGCACCAGCAGCGTCCCCGTTGCCGCGGTGACCCTGAGTTCCCCAGCGCGCATGACGGGGTCTGGCGCGGCCGCGGGGGCCACAGGCGCGACACACGCACCCCCTGGGCTTGGCCTCTCGCGCAGGGAGTTGGACCCACGTGGCTCGTCCCTTTCACAGCCCCCCATACACACTAGCACGGGGGGCGCTGCGGGCAGCTCCGGGTCTGCACGCGGCTCTCCGCAGCGGGGAGTCCCCGCTCTGGCCTGATCAGCCCTTGGGGCCGGGGAGCCCGGTTAGTGTTGCTTTCAATGGGACATGGGCCCACCGAGAACTGACAGGACTGCGACCCACCAACTGGCCTCACACAGGCCATGGGGCAGCGACAGAGGGGGGCCTTTGGGTCACCTTCCAGCCAGGGCCGGCTTTAGGCCAATTCCACCAATTCCCCCGAATCGGGCCCCATGCCTAAGAGGGCCCCGCGCCCAGTGGCAGGGCTGCCGGGGTGGGGGCAAGTGGCCGAGAATCCCTTCCCTGGCTAGAGGCTCCTTTTTAATTTTTACTCACCCGGCGGCGCTCCGGGTCTTCGGCGGCACTTTGGCGGCGGGTCCTTCACTCACTCCGGGTCTTTGGCAGCACTTCGGCAGCAGGTCCTTCAGTGCCGCCAAAGACCCGGAGCGAGTGAAGGACCCACCGCCGAAGACTAGGAGCGCCGCCCGGTGAGTACAAGCCCCACGTGTTTTTTTACGTTTTTTTTTTTTTTTAGTCATCCCTGCCGGGGCCCCGTCGAAACTGTTCGAATTGGGCCCCGCACTTCCTAAAGCCGGCCCTGCTTCCAGCCTGCTCTGGGACTGGACTGGATCTGATGCAGTGCAAAATGCCCCTTATCTTATTCCCTGCCCCGAGCTAGTTAGTACCCCAACCTAGAGTCACACTGGAACTTGTTCCCTAGAGGTGAAGGCCTCTGCACCCTGTTGCCTAACTGCAAAGACAAATTCTCTGGCCTGTCCCAGTTCTGTGGAGTTGTCACCTTTCTTAGCTATGGATATTTTTTTGGGGTGGGGTGGAATATAAATCAACATCTGTTTTTCAAGGTGATAGAACATGGATTATCCTGTGAAAATGAGTATTTTCTGATATTATCATATCCGATCCAACTGGGGTCCATCTAAACCAGTGGCTTGTCTCTGACAGTGGCCTGTAGTAGATACTTTTGCAGTTGCTAAAAACACACAATAGACAGTTACGTAATAATTTGCCCAAAGAGGAAGTTGCTTCCTAATACTGAAAGCTAATCATGGTGTCTGCTGTGAAGCTGGAAGGTTTATATTCTATAGACCTTATGTTTACCTTAATATATATATGGATATACATCCACCCAAGCACCTCTGAAAGCTGTGTAGGTAACTGAGTGCAGATGCCAGAGTCCATCAGTAGGAGCAGGGTGTACTCTGCACTTTGCCTTGCTTTTTTATAAAATTTTTCTACATGAACGTAATGGCATGGAAATTCCAGTTCTAGGAGTGTGTTTGGGTTTTTAGGGCCTTTGTCACTTGCTGTCTAACATTCTACTGCTTGCTGCTGTGGCCAATATATCTGTGGTTTAGCACTGGGATTACTTGTCTAATGAATATCCTCCGGGCACCGCGTCCCTGGGTTTTGAAATCTGTTGAAAATCTCATTCTGGAGCTGTCAGTATGGATGACAGCAGGCCTGACCACTTCCCTCAGCACTGAACAGATGGAGCAATCAAGCAAATTCTGACCCTGGCAAACTTTCCCTTGTTTGTAGGGCTTGGTTAACAGGCTTATTGGCAGTTATTTAATTTCTTGTGGAGCTGGGATGTTGAGTTTGTTGCACTGTACAAGTGCCGGCACTGGTTTTTGCTCTCTGTGCCAGTGTGAAACAACATCTCACCAGGCCTACTCTGCGAGAACATGTTCTTATTTTCTACAGGGGCTGTGTAGGCAATCATGTTTAATTCCTGCACTCATTTTTAATGTCTAATTACATTCCCCACTAGAGGGCAGACACGACACACATTTGAATCTGAAATTTTATTGAACCATTAACCCCATGACTACATTGCAATCTCCTCAGAGTTAATGGATTATACAACACAGGGCAGGTTTAGCATCTCACTAAGAATAGTCTGACCTGCCTACCGGAGCATGGTGCAGCCTTTCAGCAAAGCTTTAACATATGCTAAAGAGCAGGATCTTACATTATAGGGTAGACACAGTGCAAAGAGCTAGCCGTGCAAGAGACCCCCCCGGTTCTGCCCTGCTTATCCTTAACTATATATAAAAGCTAATCACATCAGTTTGTATCTCAGTCTCTCAGCCAGACAAGCAGCCAAGACAAAGTGCTGTGTTTTTTCCCAGTAGATGTGTATGTAAAAAATAATTCCTAAAATACCACAGTCCAAACTTGTATCATTTCTGCCATCTCCAATGTCTGGGGCATATGCTGAATTCCAGAGTTCCCAAATGAACAAAGATAATGAATGAGACTGCAAGTCTGTCACGGATTCCATGACTTTCTGTGACCTCCGTGACTTCTGCAGCGGCTGGTGCTGGCTCGGGGGCTTCCCAAGCCGGGCAGCCCCTGGGCCAGCAGCAGCAGTTTGGGTGTGTGGGAGGGGGCTCAGGGTTAGGGGCAGGCATTGGGAGGAGCGGGGGGCGCTTACCTTGGGGTGAGGGGGCTCCCCGGCTCCCACTGGCATGGCCCTGCAGCTTCTAGGTGATGGAAGAGCCAGGGGGCTCCGTGCGCTGCCCGCAGGCCCTGCCCTCTCAGCTCCCATTGGCTGTGGTTCCCAGCCAATGGGAGCTGCGCAGCCGGCACTTGTGGCGGGAGCAGCACGCGGAATTCCCTGGCCCCTCCACCGCCTAGGAGCTGTAGGGACATGCAAAGTCGGGTAGGTAGCTTGACAGCCCCACCAACCCCCCACCCCCTCCCCCCCAGCACCAGCAGGGATCCCAGGCTGTGCATCGCTGCCCCCCCCAGCACTAGTGGGGGTCCTGGGCCACCTCCCCCAGCACCCATGGCACCCCCTGGACCACCTCCCCCAGAGCACCCATGGCCCCCCGCCCAAGTTTTAGTTAGGGGTATACAGTAAAAGTCATGGACAGGTCTCAGGCTGTGAATTTTTGTTTGCTGCCCATGACTTTTACTAAAAATACTCATGACTAAAACGTAGCCTTAATAATGAATACTATGATCCACACAAAATGTTCAGAGACAAGTCTCCTATGTTGGAAGTGCTCCCTCCCTAAGTATTGATGGGAGTGCAGGAGAAGTTCAGCTAGCTCATTTAGGGCTTGATCCTGCAACGTGCAGAGCACGCTGGCTCTTATCTAGTGAAACACTTATGCTTAAGGTTAAACACATGCTTGTGAGTAAGCCCATTAACTTCAATTGGCTAGCCACCTGCTTAAATGTTTATGCTTCTCTGTATCAGGGCCAGAGTCCTCCACACCATGTAGGAACAAGTGCTTGCTCAGAAGCCCATATGGAATCTAGACACATGAGCTCTGTGCCAGGCAGGGCTTTGGAGCTGTGCTCTGGCTCCGCTCCAGGCAAAAACCTGCAGTTCCACTGCTCTGGAGCTGCTCTGGGCTCCAGCTCCAGGCTCCGCTCCAGAACCCTGGTGCCAGGACTTTGTAAGAGAATGTGAGGGACTCCAGGCCTAGGAGATTGCATGGGAGCTGCAGATGCTGCACAACAGAAGGTCTTGCTGGAGAATGTTTTGAACCACACCCAGCAGCTGGAGAACACCTGCCACCATTCTGACTTGCAAAGGCACAAACAAGCACTCAGTGCAGCCCCAAGCAATACCCCAAAACTCACAGTGTATGCCCAGCCCTAGCCCAAAACCACTGAGACCTGGAAGAGCACTCCTGTAATGAACATGCCAAGCTTCTCAGCACAGGGGTGGAGACTTGCAGTACTGGAATGCTTCAGCTACACATGAGCCAGGATGGCCAGAGGCACTAGACACAAATTCTCTGGGCTTAGGAGACTCCCTGCACCACTCTGTCCACAGACTGCTGCAAACCAGCTGAAATCAGGGTCCTGGGGGCAGTCCTTGCTCAGCAGTGGCCATTCATTTCTTGGATTTTTCCATGGGTTTAGCTGATTGCTAGGACTATATTTGTGCTGCCCCCGTCTCTCGGGAGTTGCCAATCTGCTGAGTCACTTCCTCTTTTCAGACCTTTCTTTTCCCTTTATCCTCTTTCTCTGGAAAGTGCTTTATGAGGCAGTATAGTGGACAGAATGTGACTCATCTGCACCTGGCTTTTCATTTGATGGTACTTGGGATGCTAAATGCTGCAGCCAGGGTCCAACAGTGTCTGCTAGTATGTGTCTAGCTACTATGCAGCTCTGAGTGCTCCCTGGGAAATGGCCTGGATCTGGAGCAATACCCAGCCTCTGTTATTTATACACCAGACTCCTCTCCTTGAGGATGCTCCACTTCCGTCATGGCAGTGACTTTGTTTTTCCTGTTACATAGTCTCCTTGTGGCCAAAGCTTTCCTGTATTAGATCAGATGGTGGCAGTAGCACGCCTCCCTAAAATGGTGATGCAGCCGGATCTGTGTGTGGCTATGCTCATTCCCGAGAGTAGGAAGAGGGCAAGACAAATAGCCAACAAGGAAGGGGGTCAAAGTGACAATCTGTCCTTGTAACACAGCTAGCCAGAGCGCCAACAGCCATGCTGGGTATTCTGCTGTGCTTAGGGGGCTACTCTGCTGTTGCTGCACCTGATAATTGGTGCTAGAAGGGTCATACAATTCATGGGCAATTGCATGAACACACTCATGGGATCATGTTACCGATCACAGTGCTCCCACGCCCACCAGCCCTGCTGGTTTAGTGTGGGAATCAGTACATTCTCACTGCGATCTCAGGCTGTCTCCTCTGTAAGCACAAGTGCAATCAAAGCCCTTTGAAAATGCAAAGCACCATAGAAGTGCTCAGTATTATTATTGGGATGGGTTGGTGATTTGCCCCATTAACCCCCATAGTTCTTCTCAGCGGTGGGTAATGAGGACTATGCCACTTGTATTTATGTTGGGCAGAGGAATGGCCACTGGATTGGGCTGGCGCCTGGTCTGGGAACGAAGTTAAGACCCTTGTTCTCCGGCGACTGAGAAACTTTGGCTCATCTGCTACTGAGGTCTTGTCCTTGGTAGTATGGCTGTAATTGCTTCATCCCCTGCCTTAAGCCTGTCTCCCCTCCCTGAGGCTCTCCTCTTCCTCATTCTGCAGCCGCTTCCTAGGCCAGCCCCTCATCCCCACCAACCACCAGGCATTCATGGTTCTCCAATAACACACACCATCCCTACGGCTTATTTGACAGGAGTGTAATTTCTCTGTAGGCTCTTGTTACACATTTGCCTAGAAGGGGGGGTCCCACTGGGACTGGGGGACTGCGATCCTGCGGGGAGGCCTTGCCAGGAATGGGCACAACTGAGGCCATGGCTCGTGTAGCAGTTCAGGTGAGTGAAGCGGGAGAGTTAGTAGCAAAGCCTGAAGAGTTAATTTCTGAAGCACTACACTACCCCTCTGTTTCTGCACCACTCTCCTGGCTGACTGAAGAACGTGCTGAGGGAAGCCGTCTCTCCGCTCCTTGGGATGGGGAGACAGCTCAGGTTGTACTGAGCAGGCGTCAAACAACCAGCAGCCTTCCTTCCTCTCATGCTGGCAGGTCCATGCGGAGGGTGGATGAGGAGAGAGCAGGGAGCCTGCTGCTAGCTTCTGGCCGCCTGTGCTTCAGGACTGTCCTCCTGGGGCTCATCCTCATCTGACTGCACCACGGGGGTCTCAGCCCCCTCCTCGCTGGTGTCCAGGCTGTTCAGGTCTGTGGACACGGAGGATGTGGACGAGATCCGGGATTTGATCTCGGCCGCATTGGGCACTTGCAGGGTGATTTCCTCCTGGTAGTGGCTGGGCTCTGCCCAAGGAGAGAGGCAAGATTAGCAGAAGAAACCAACATGCTAGCATCTTTGCAGGCCTTGTGCCCAGCCCCCTTCACCTCCACCATACCCCTCTGCAGGCAGGCTGTGCCTTCATCCCTTTCCCAGCCCATTGCAGGGGCTATAGATGTGCAGAGCGCCATTTCAGCAGGGGCAGCGACTCTGGTACACAATGTTTCTAGGCCCTTTAGGAGGAAAGGCGATGAGGCTGGAACTATCCCTATCAGGAGAGGTGGGGGGTAGGAGGGATTTGGGTGGGAGTCACTGGGCTCAAAATTCTTATTGTCCATGAGCAGAGAGACATGAGCTGGCCGTAAGCAGGACTGAGCTGCTGAGCTACCGATCCCTTAGCCCGACTTTGATCCCCAGCACGAGCCAGGCTGCTGCCAGAGCCGGGTCTCCTTCCCCAGTCCCAGACTTTGGCAGCAGGGCATGTGCCTCACATTCCTTCCCCATTTTTGGCAGTGGAGCCTTTTCCGTCTCGCTTGTAAAATTCCAGCTTGGGGCCTTCACGTGTGAGGCCGTTTAACTGGAACAGAGGAGAATCTGCCGCTAAATGGCTTGACTCATTCTCAGAGTGACTCATTCTCAGAGTCTCTGCAAGGAGTGCAGTATGGGGTGATCAGGCTGCCGATGCCGCCTCCTCCTCCCCCATTGGGGTCCCCCTCCCCAGGCAATGAGCTCAACACAGGGTAACTGGGGTCTGCATGGCTCCCCACTCCCCATGTGAGGAGCCCAGCCTGGGGCCACGATGGTGCTGACACTGCCCCCAACAGGGAGCTCAATGCAAGACAGTCAGGGTCTTGGCACCCCCACACTTTGTGCAGAGAGCTCAGCATGGGCAATCAGGGCCCAGGGGAGAGTGAGCATGTGAGGAGTGCAGCAGGGTGTGATAGAACAGTGGCTGCTCTAGAGCAGTTTGGGGGGACAAGAATTCAGTCTTACAAACCCTAAAAAGCTCAGAGTGCACCTCAGCCCTGGAAAACTTGGATCCGTAATTCTCTGCTCCCAGCAATGGTGGCTGTAGTGTAGACAGGGGACAGGTGTTTGTACAACAGTATCCTTCCCTAAGATTAGATGTCGTGATGCTGAAAATGCCTGTGCCCTTTCTACACGGCAGCCTCCATTGCTCATATTGCTGATGGAGCTGTACTAGCGGAGCTGTGCGGGTGTGAACTTTTCCAATCCCACAGGCCAAAGCCCCAAGTTTGTTGCCCTTCAGGACTGAAGAGAGTCACAGCAGGGCTTGGACTGGATCGACGAACTGACCAGCTGGCGTGAAGGTTGGGGGGCAGCAGGGAGCAAACAGGGAGGGTTGCGTACATACCTGGCAGGAGACCGGCAACATTGTTATCCTCTGTCCCACAGCTGAGAAACACGTCCACGGTGTCCTGGTCAGACAGGTCCATCATCTCCATCTGCTCCAGCATGTCCACATTCACCTCCATGGAGGAAATGCTGCCCAGTGGAGCTGCAGAGACACGGGCCAGAAAACAAGGGAGGGCCCATCACTAGTGCCAGCCAGATGAGAACCTATTAGCCCTGGACCAGCAGCACTGAGAAGACAATGCCATGGGAGGCCAGCTTGTGGGACTAGCCTACTGGCTTGTTTATAGTGTGAGCTCTTCAGGGCCCTTATCTTTATGACCTGTTCAGGGCTCTATAAATAACAGGTCACCCCCTCTGCACTGCCTTCCATCCCATTCTGTGTGTGACAGACACCTCCCCCTAGCCCCGGGCGGGCGGCACTTACGTCTCCTGTGCTCTATCTGCAGGTGGGACATGGGGAAGAAGAAATCCACATCATGCTGGAAAACCTCCTCAAAGAACTTCTGCCTGTCACGTAATTTGAGCTGCTGCTGCATCTGCTCTGGCTCCAGTCCCCGCTGCCCATGCTCCATGTCAGCTGTAGAGGAACAAGGTGGAAGATCAGGCACAGGCTAGATGCAGTCAGATGGGGCATGGGAGATCAGCCAAGGCCAAGAAGGGCTGCATAAGTCCACCCTATTCCTTCTATCAGTGTCCTGCAGGATAGGTATTGGTCTCCTGCTCTACTTTATCCATGGGGGTGCATTGTGATTTGGTAGCAATGGAAGAGGTATTACAGGCCATGGAGCTTGCTCCAGCAGTGCAATCTGTGCTGGGGGCCACTACTACTGACTCTGCTCCTGTGATACAGCCCAGTGTGGTGTCCACAGCTGCAATGACTGTCTCATACTTTGGGCTTCCCCACCTTTCTTCCAGGGTTCTCAAAGCGCTCTACAAACTTTAACTCTCACCCCCTCCGTGAGAGGGGATTAGTGTTCTGTTATCCTCATTTTCCAGAGAGGGAAACTGAGGCACGGAAAGCAGACGTGACTTGCCCAGGGTCACCCAGTATCAGAGCCAGGAATAGAATCAGGTCCTCCTGACTCACAAGCCTCTGCTCTAACCACTAATCAGCGGTTCTCAAACTGTGGGTCGGGACCCCAAAGTGGGTTGCAACCCCATTTTAATGGGGTCACCAGGGCCAGCATTAGACTTGCTGGGACCCAGGGCTTGGGCTCCGGCCCCCTGTCCGTCCCCCCCAGGGCAGTGGGGCTCAGGCTCCAACCCCCTCTCTTCCCCCACCCGGGGCAGCAGGGCTCAGGCTCCGGCCCTCCACCCCCGGGGTCATGTAGTAATTTTGTTGTCAGAAAGGAGTTGTGGTACAATGACGTTTGAGAACCCCTGCACTAGATGACACTCCTGCCTTGCTTGGCAGAGAAGAAACATGGCAGCCCAGATGTTGACTGTTCAGGACTGTAACCAGAGTGCTCAGGTGTGCGTGATATGGGGTAGTCTCAGCTCCAGCCTGTCACACTCTGGTTTTCCTGCTGCCTAACAAAGGGTTAACCAGAGAGTTGCCTTTGAATATTAACACAGCAGAAACTCTCCCAGGAACAGGAACTGACCCTGAGTGCCAGGGATACTGGACTGAGAAATGTGATAGTAATAAAATGGCATTAACACCCCCACCTCCGCCTACAAACACTCCCCTCCGTACACCAGTCTATAATCCCAGTCCCCCCCACACACACACACACATACAGACAAACAGGCTCCTCCATTCGCCCCACCCCCCTTCACACACAGCCAGCCTGGATCTTTGCATTTGCATTCCTTTCATCCCTCCCATGGTTTAACTCTGCTCCCAAGAGCAATGAGGAGCCACTGAGGGAAGAGGGCTGAGCCCTCCGCAGGGAACAAGGTGATGGAGGGCCAGTTCCTCCTAAGCACAGCAGGGCCTGTCTCTGTCCCTCCCGCTTTAGGAAAGCAGAGGAGCAAAGAACCTGCAGCCCTTCTAGCTTGGCCAATTGGTTTCCTGGGCCCAGATCCGCTAAGGTGTTTGAGTTCAATGGAATTTAGGAGCCTAAATACCTTTGAGGAACTGGACCTTGCTGGTTTATTCCAGCAGCTGCCTGGATGCTCCCAGACTGGAGTCTCATTCCAGGATCCGACTCTGCTACTCTTGGCCAGGCAAGGAAAATGTGACAACCCAGCCGGGCAGGGCAGAAACCAAGGAAACCAAACAAACATTCTAGCCTGTCCCCATCCCAGCACTGACCAAACCCACCTCCTGCTGCCGGAAGCGGGGGCAGGGGGGAACCCAGCAAAGGGCAGCAATTGCATGGGATCCCCACCCTGGCTGGCGGGGGCTGTGTCTGTATCAGGACCAGAATGTTATAACATAGGACCCCAGAGGAAACAAACTTCTTCTTCCCTCCCCCCCAACACCTGCCCCAGGGAAACCCCTCAGGGCTAAACTCCCTGCCCAGACACCTGCCCCAGGGACACCCAGCAGGGCTAAATTCCCCCCCTCCCAATACCTGCCATAGGGAAACCTCTTAAGGGTAACCTTCTTCCCCATCAGACATCTGCCCCAGGGAAACCCCTCAGGACTATTCTCCGTCCCCTACCCCCCACACACACACCTGCTGCAGGGAAACCCTTCAAAGCTAAACACCCCCCTCCAGACACCTGCCCCAGGGAAACCCCTCAGGGCTAAACTCTTGCATCTGAAACATACCAAACAGGAACCAGCTGCCAACGCTGTGTGACTTATACTCCTGGTGACCTGCACGTTTCCCCCGGGGTTCTGTATTCATTTCTGGTTCTGCTTGTCCCATTACTGCTGGGCCCATTTCCAGGCTCCAACGCACCTGGCATAAGTTCTGGTTCCAAGATGCCCAGCCCAGGTCTAGGCCTCCCCACTTACTGCAGCCAGAGAGCTCAGTGCCAGCCCCTGCTGCTGTCTGTCTCCTTGTCCATCGCCAAGGGCTGGGCTGGCAAGGTGCCCATGAGCCAGGATCTCACACACTTTGCCAAGAGACTAAACCCCGTGTTGAAAGCGCCTTAACAACATGTCGAGATTAAGCCCATTTTACTTTCCTTGCTGGTCTCACCATCTGCTGCTGCACTGGCCAGGAGCTCATTCTCCTCCTTATCCTGGGGCAGGGCCACACAGAATCTAAGCCCCCCCACCCCTTCGATCCCACACATACTCGCTAATCCATCAGCAACTCCAGAGCTGTGTCAGAGAGTCTGGGAGGCAGAGAAGGGCTGGGGGAACAGCTATGGCACAGAGGCAGGAAGGAGACTGGGGTGGTCTAATTACAAAGCTCTGGGCTGCACAAAGAACAGGTTAACCCTGGAGGATTGTCTCTCCCTCAATTAGCATCGAGGTAACTCTGGGCCCCTTTGGCAGCCCCTGCAGGGTAGCTAATGACTAAGGCTATGATTTAGTCATGGAGGCCACAGCAGTCACGGATTCCGTGACTTTCCTGCACCTCCATGACGTCTAGGGCTTCAGGAGGCGGAGACGGGACTGTGCGTCCCTGCCCTGAAACTGGGGCTGGCTGGAACCAGGACGCTGCAGCCCTAGCCCCACAGCTTCCGCCAGGAGCTTCAGCCAGGGATGCACTCCCCAGCCCCACGGTGTCCCGGGCTTGGCGGGGGCTGCAGATGGAGCCGCGCGCCCTAGCCCTGCGGTGTCCCAGGCTTGGCGGGGGCTGCAGCCAGGGCCGAGCACTCAAACCCTGCGGTGTTCCAGGCTTGGCAGGGGCTGCAGCCGGGGCTGTGTGCCCCTGCCCGCCGGCTGCACTGGGGACAGTGCATCCCCCTCGCAGCTTCCATGGCCATACGCCACCCCCAGCTGTGGCTGAGGCTTGGTGGGAGCTGCAGCCAGGGCCACACACCCCTGTCCCGTAGCTGTGGCCCGCTGGTGTGGGGGCTCGGCCTGACCATCCCCTCTGCGATGGGACTCCATTCTTCCCCCCTACATACCCCTGCCCCCAGGGTATTTTTAGTAATGTCACGGACAGGTCACCGGCTCCGTGAATTTTTGTTTATTGCCCGTGACCTGTCCGTGACTTTTACTAAAATAACCATGATAAAATCTTAGCCTTACTAATGACACAGCCCAGCTGCATGGAGCCTGCCCTATTGTGCTTTCCCACCAGGGCAGAGTCACCAGCTTCCCACTGCTCCAGGAAAGCTGCAGCTGTAGCATTGTTGGAATCCCCGGCTAACAGGCTGGACCATCCAGTGGCTTGTCACAATTTTCCCAGGGAAAGTGGCCAGCAAATTCGAGTAGTGCAGAGAAGCCAAGGTTCAGGTACTGGGGGTGTTAAGCAGCTCTAGTGAAACCCCTGAGAGCTGGGGACACTTTGGAGAAGGTGATCCTGAAGTTCTTGCACCTCACACTCCTTCCCAAGGGCCCTCATTCCCCATATCCTTGGCATCAACAGCGTCCACAACCACAGGCTGGCTTCCACAACCACAGCGTGACTCTTACTATGTATTTGTACAGCACCTAGCACAGCGGGGCCTGTCCTCAGGCAGGGTCCCTAGATACTATTGCAATATCAATATGAACCTAACAGATTAATAATACTGCTGTTTGGGGGCCCAACAGCCGATATGTTACAACTTCACTTTCCAGTAGAGCAACAAGCACCATGTGATCTACTTGGTGCACCTATTCCATTGGAACAGGGGACACAGTGGAAACAGGGACACACTGACCCCAGTCACTCTAGTATTGGAGGAAAGCACAGTGCCCTGGGTTCCCTTTGATTTGAGCCCTGTCTGTAGAGGTGAGCTCCCAACCTCTGCCAGGAGGAGGCACTGTCTGTATGCAGAGGGGAAGGGGGAACGCACAGCTATTCCAGTCTCAGGCCCTCCCTGCAAGAACATTGCAGGATAAAGGGTAAGGCCATCCTAAGAGTTTGCAATTTTCTACACTGTTAATGCACACATTGTACATCTCTCTCCCAAGACATGACAATTACAACCATGGGATGTTCCAGGCACCCAGGAGGAGATGCAGGGAGGTGGCATGGGTTGGTACACTCACAGCTGGTGCTGGTGTGTTACTCTCACTCAAGAGCTGTGCTAGAGCCTCAGTGGGGAAGATGTGCCTGCATTTATTAGCAAACTTGTCTGTAAATTCCTTGGCGAGCTTTTATTAGCCAGCTGAGTAGCCGGCACTGAAATACCATTATGTAACTAAGGCAGGCATCAAGCAAGATGTGCAGCGGGGTGACTGACTGGTGACTGCAGTGAGAAACAAAGATGGAGCCTTTTCCCCCACTTCCTCATCTCAGCTCCCTCTCTCCCCTCCCCCTCGCTCTGTTCCTGTATCTCAGGCACTCTAGGAGGCCAAGAGCTCTGCTCATGTATTTGCAGCTAAATAACTGCCATGGAGGAAATAAAAGAGACTAACATTCCCTGTCTCTGCCCTTCGCCATGTGACTGATGGTCACATTCTCCTCGCTGTCAGTCGCTGTGATTGTCTCATCAGGATGGCATGTTCCCAGCAAGTGACACACACACTCACACAATGCAGCCCCTGTGCGCTGCAGGGAATTCATTCTGAGGTTTAAATACCTGCTGGTGGTCTTTTTTACAAGGCACTCAACCAATGGGCTGAGGCTTATGCACATTCGCAGCTGGGACACAGCACTGCCTTTCCTGGATCACTGACCCCCCAACACGTCAGCCTGTCACTTCCCAAGAGCGTGAAATGGCACCAGGCTCCCTGCTGCCTTCAAATCCTTCCGGCTCTTGCTGCTCATTAGGCATCAAAGCCTATAGAAGAACTGGACCTGAATGCAAGTGTGGGGACTGAAGGGAGAGGAGCCAGCCTACCACAGGCCCGTGAGAAGGAAACAGATATGGGGATTTCCTTCTTCTGCCATTGCTCGGTTTCTTCGGTCCCAGGCTCTCCCAGCAGCAGGAAGCAATGTAAGGAGCCAGGGGAGGTGTTCTGGCTCCAGAGACTCCAGTGCCACCCTGCCTTCGCAAGATGTACTGAAAGAAACAGGGCAGATATGCTGGCTGGGTTGCACAGCTGGAATTCTCTGTCTCTCAGCACGAGACCCTGTAGGGTGACTGCAGAAAGGCCAGACATGGAAGGTGCTCAGCTCCTCTATTCCCCATCTTCCTGCAGGAAGCATAATAGTGAACAGTGCAGGAGTTCCAGCCACAAGGAGCTCCCAGTCCCAGCTATTCCACACCAGCAGGGAATGGTGCCGAGCATTGGCTTTGGGTAGCTCCCAGCGACTGAGGGTGACATGAGCCCTGGGAGTGATATGGCTGAATGGATTATTTGGGACACAGTGAGATCTTTTCATTGATTTCTTGGGCTGAGCACTGAGCACACGGCAGCTTGTCTGGCCGTGTTTCCGCTGGGAGTGGACATGTTTGTCATTTCCCCTTGTCCTGCTGGATCCTAGTACAAACCCCACTCTGTGCACCAGGCAGTCTGAATGGATGGGGGCGGGGGGCTTGTTAAAGGAGGCACAATCCAAGAGGAGATGGGGAGAAGGTTTTCATTAATTGATGTCTCTTTAAATCCCTTGAAAACTCCCCAAGAGATTAAAGAAACAGAGTAAGCCATGAATGGGGCAAAGTCAGGGGGAAAGGGGAGGTTAACAGAGTATAAATGAGGGAAGAAGGTACATTCTGCAGGGTGTGGATCAGTTCTCTAGGGAGCGACTCCAAGGAGCACAGCTTCACACCCGATCTGGCCATGCCATGACGGGGCATTCCCTCAAAAGCATCACCCCAGGCCCTGTGAACCGGAACAGGGACACACTGACCCCATTCACACTAGTGGTGGAGGAAATCACAATACCCTGGGCTCCCTTTGATTGAAGCCCTGTCTATAGAGGTGAACTCCCAACCCCTGCCAGAAGGAGGCATTACACGGAACAGGTCGGGACAGTGAGTGTGGGGGGAGCTCGCAGCTACTCCAGTCTGAGCCCCTCTCAGCAAGAACATTGCAGGATAAAGGATAAAGCCACCCTAAGAATTTGCGACTTCCTTCAGTCTCGGGGTGAGGCAGCTAGAACAGAACCATTGGAATGACCTAGAAGAGGCCTGTAGCGATGAGCTGACCATAAACTGGATGCCTGGAACCTGCCGAATGCTCCTGTACAAATTCTCTGCGCAGCCTCCCTCTCAGATTCCGCATCTGGCCTCGTACCGCAGCAAAAGGAAAAACTTAAACCCAAGCCTGCCGGGTGAGAGGGAGTGCACAGGACGGGGAGAGGGAGGGAAGTGGTTTTAGCAGAGACAGAGCAGGAAAAAACAGGAGGGCGGAGAGCAAGAGTATCAGTGGGGTGAGGAGGTGGCACCTTGTGATCCTGATTTCTGACATGGACTCTTCATGAATGGTATTCGGTATTCCAGCCAATCCTCAACTCCTCCGTGACTCCACACTAAAAATATCCCCATAGCCCAGAGCTCTCTCCCCAGCAGAGGCCACGTCACAAGACCCTGCTATTTACAGGGCCTGATTCACTTGACATAGAACCCTGAGCAGGATAAAGCCAGGAGCGCATTCGGGAAGATGAGAGGAGGTGGGGAGGCTCATAAGCCACACAGGGGATGTTTACATAGCCCAAGGCAGCGAACCTCCCAGCCCAGGTCGACAGACTCGGGCTACAGAAGCTCGCGCTAGTGCTCTAACAATAGCGTTGTAGACAGCGCTGTGAAGGTGCAGCACGAACTGGAGCTCGGGCTCTGAAGCCTAGGGATGGGGGTGGTCTTCACAGTCCAAGCTCCAGCACAAGCCACAACTTCAAAGTGCTGCCCACACAGCTATTTTTAGAGCGCTCGGGTGAGTCCTGCTAGCCTGCGTCTGTCGACCCGGGCTGGGAGGCTCGCTGCTGCAGGCTGCATGGACAGGCAGCCTCCACACCATGTTCTGCCCCACACACTGAAGCTTTTCCAAGTCCTGCTGAGAGGCTCATTAAAGGAGCTGGGATACCACCCTGTCTCTCCTCCCCAGCTTGGCCTGGAGCTGGCCTGGCTGTGCAGAGACCTTCACCGACTCACTGTCTGCCCGGCTCCATGGAGCTTCTCTATCCGGAACACTTGCTGCTTCAGGGGTTTGCTCCTGTCCTTAGGTTCCACCGGTGACAGGGAGAGCTGGCTCATTACAAAAGCAGCTTTGCCTCTCCTGGAATGGACACCTCCTCATCTATTATTGGGAGTGGACTACATCCACCCTGATCGAATTGGCCCTGTCAACACTGGTTCTCCACTTGTGAGGTAACTCCCTTCTCTTCCTGTGGCATTATATAATGCCTGCATCTGTAATTTTCACTCCATGCATCTGAAGAAGTGGGTTTTTTACCCATGAAAGCTTATGCTCAAATAAATCTGTTAGTCTTTAAGGTGCCACCGGACTCCTTGTTGTTTTTGTGGATACAGACTAACATGGCTACCCCCTGATAAGGGAGAGCTTTGCCCATCCGGATCAGACAATGGCCCAGCCAGCCCTGGGCCCGGTTTCTGGCAAAGGTCAGTGCCTGATGCTTCACAGGAAAGCAGCCTGCACCCCCACCAAAAGGAATGCCCCCAGCTGAGGGCACATCCCATAGGGCAAGCCCTTCCTACCATCCAGCAGCTTGAGATGTGACTGCCTGGATCTCAGCATGTAGAACTACTAATGATATTACAATGGGATGTGAAAGGATGGAGGCACCAATCACTATGGGGCGTACGGGAAGAGCGACTTCAGGGGAGGCTGGTGCATGGTGACTGCGAGATGGAGGCAGGGGGTTGGTGGCTGTGCAGAGGTGAGCGGCCAGGAAATAGGGATTGCAGAGCTGAGGGCTTTGGTGAGGGAGCTGCTGCTTGGTGGGGTGGAGAGGTGCCCTGCGTGGGGGGGTGGGGGTGGAGAGGAGCTGGTGGGTGGGTTGTATGAAGAGATGTGGGAAGGCGCTGGCGAAAGGGCGCTATAGGGTGTATGGAGGTATGTGGGAAGGCGCTGGTGTACAGGTTGTATGGCTGAATTGTTTGGGGAAGGACAGAGAAGGGCTATGCCCATGGGAGGAGATGGCTGTAGTGTCCATGGGACCATTGGTGGGGGGTACTCTGCCTGGTGCCTGTTCACAGCACGGTTTGCGGCTGCTGCCTGTGGAGTCTATGCTGCTCCAGCCGGGGCCTGGCGGCAGCTTCCGAGGATGAGCCAGAGCTAAAGAATTCACTAAAAAAGGAAAGGGTTCAGAGAGTCGTGTGCCGGGGGCAAGGCATGGGGGAGCAGAGCGCCACTGGGTTAGCACTTCCACACGGACAAAACCCCAACTCCCTCCGTCAGTCAGTACCTTTGTGTACATGTACACACACACAGACACACACAGAGGGGACTGACACAGACAGAACACAGGGAAGCGTCTAGACTAAACTGTGGCTGAGCAGTAATTGCTCATGTTTGACTGTAAATTTACAGAGCAAACATTTGGCTGAGAGAGATGCACACAGTGCAAGGCTGACCCAGGTGTGGCTGAGTGGGTGTGCAATGTAAGTGTGTGAGAGAAGGAGCGAGTGGGTGTAGGTGAAAGTTGTGTGAAACAGACGGGAAGTGTGTGTGAGTCACGGGTGACGGCCAGTGCCTGTGCCCATGATATATGACACTTTGGGGACGGGGGTGAATCAGCCGGTTTCTGTACAATAGTCAGGATTGTTCTGGGCTGTTGACCACTGCAAGATAATTGTGAATCCCTAACTCAGTGTTTTAAGTGGCTTGGGAAAATGGGAGGGGGGAGGGAGGGGTTTTATGACAATCCCAGCTGCAATAAATGTTCATGCACTGGCAGGGCAGTGCTTTCACCCTTAGTGAGCTGACTCAGTTTTAATTCTGTGACCCATGACGACCCTGCCCACTTTAAGTCCCCCTGAGCTGGGCCCACGAAAGAGCTGCAGTGTCAGCAGTGTGCCCCCCTCCTGCGCGAGGCTGCCCAGGCAGGAGGCAGCTGCTGTCTGTGTGCGGGGGTGAGCGGGCACCGGCCTCCGGCTGGCGGTAGTGACTGTGCCGGGGATGGAGCTGGGATACAGGGGGTTGCTCCAAGCCCCGCTCAGTGCAGCGGGCATCAGGAGCGTGCCCTCAGCCTCACGTGGGTCTCAACCCTGGGGCGCTGTCCGGGCCAGGGAGGGTTCCTGCTGGGGAACATTAGAGCCCTGGAGCAGAGCGTGCACCGGAGGGGGAGAGGGCGCCTCCGGCACATGTCCCTCCATGCCTGCTCCCGGACAGTCAGCGGCAGGGTGATCCCACCACCGAGCCAGGGGGGACCGTCGCTGGGAAGCCACCGGACAAATAACCACCCCCGCACCAGCCTTCCCGAGAGTGGACTTACAGGGCAGCCTCCTGCTCTGGCTGTGAGCTCCGGGTCCGGACATGACGGGCAGGCGGGCGCTGTCTGCTGCAGGCAGCCCGGGGCGCGCTCAGGGTTGGGCGGGTGCAGGGGGCGCTGCAGCCCGGGGCACGCTTATCTCTCCAGGCAGGGCAGGCAGCGCTCCAGCGGGGCTGGCCCGGCCGAGAGTGCAACTGGGGCTGCCTCCCGGGCCGGGCTGGCTGGGGCTCGGCAGACTGTACCAACTGCGTGATCCGGAAAGGGGGTGGGATTGCAGCTCGCACGGTCTCCGGGCTCCCGCTGGCTGTACCAAGGCCAGGCGCTGGAGCCTGGAGGAGGTGGGGGGCTGCCTGCGAGGGAGCGCGCGGGCAATCGCCTGTGGCTGCAGGGGAGGGAGCAGGAGATGCTGAGGTCCCCGTTAGGGCGGCTGGGAAGCAGGTGCAGGCGGGACCCAAGAGAGCAGCCTGCACCCGGCTGGAACGGGGGTGTCTATGGCGAGCTTCTCAGCTCTGACCCTGCAACCCCTCTGCCCCCTTCCAGGCAGTGCAGCGCTGGCCCTGTTTGCACAGGATGGGGGCTGGCCAGGAGCACAGTGTCACCCTGAGCTGAGTGGCTCTGGCGGGCATTGAGGAACCTTGCAGTAAGGGGGCACCAGGAGCTGGGGAGGAGAGGTGACCTGCCTGGGAGACCCAGGGGAAGCAAGTCAGGTTCCTTTTCTCACCCCTCCTTGGGCCGCAGCATGGAGCTGGGGCTGAGGCTCAACTGCAGCCCAAGGCCTGCCAGCAAAGGGAGCCAAAGAAGTGACACCAGCTGGGAAAAGCCAGCATCCCTGCTGTACCACGCTGCACTTACGGCAGAAGCGGGGTGAGGGTGGGATATCAGCTTCCCTCCATCCCAGTGCAACAGGCTGCAATTGCTGTGGAGAGAGCTCAGATATACAGAGCGCAGGAACTGGTGCATCTGGAAAACCGCCTCCCCCTGCCTGATGTTAATAATTAATGTCTTATGCTTCTCTATATGCACTGCGCATATGATCATTGAGCAGGCAATGGGCTGCAGACTCCATTCTTATCATAACTGATTCCCTGTTTCTCCAGTACACAGATTCCCTTAGAGGCCTCTGTCAGCCTCATATCCAGCATGTTTTCATCATTAGCTCTTTGGCTATCATTGAAACATGCTGGGCTTGATTCTGCTCCTAATGGAGTCAATGGCAGAGCTCTCAGGAGCAGGCCCTCTATTTCCTTCCTCTGTCTCCACAGAGTGACTCAGTCCCTCCGTAGTGCCAGTGCCTGCTCTGGGCAGATAGGATCTGATCACAGCCAGAATTCACAACTCCTCAGAGCATGATCTACTCCCCATTCTCTGCATGAAACAGCCAGAAAGGGAGTTTCCCACAACCATTGTCAGTCCCACCCTGACCCAGCCCACTGCCTCAGAGGGTTTGCATCACCGCATTACCAGACAAGTGAAGATCTGATGCCACTGGTTCCATCTGATGTAAGTTAAATTAATTCTGAGGTTTCAGTTTAGCCCATGTGATTATTTATCCACATCCAAAACCCACCCCAGAGTTCCACATGACTGTTTCTGTCCATAGCCTGGGGTCAGGATTAAAGAGCATTGGTAGGGGCCCAGGATTGGAAGAGCAGAGGGACTGCAGGTCAATACTATGGGGTCCCAGCAGAGTGTTTGTGAGGGGCTCATGATTAGAATAACAGGGCCACTGCAGATCTGGATTGAGGTACATTGGTAATGTACAGAAACCTCTTGCACTGCACCTATCAGTATTATGAGTGGCTTTAGCCAGTAGTATCACTTCCTCAAATTCCTGTCCCACACCTTCCTTTCTGACCTCCCTGATATACACTCTCAGCTATGGGAGCTAGAGTCCAGGGCCAGGGAATCAGCCCAGATCTCTGCTATAGTACGTCTCTTTTTCTAAATTGGCACCAGTCACTAGCGTGAGATTTAAGGCCAGATTCTGCCACTCTTATTCACAATGAGTATTCTCTTAGTCTGCGTAGTCCCTTTGATTTTAAATAGAGCTAATTGAAGACTAAGATACTACTCAGTGGGAATAAAAGAGGCATAATCTGGCAAATAATAAATAACACAGCAAACATGCACCCCTCTGCTGTTTCACTCTTTACTGTTTCCATGGCAAAGAGTATCTTAATTCTTAGAATTAAGCAACATCGCCCCCTGCATGTAGAGTACATTGAAGCATCCTGGCGTTTTATCATAGGGCCCCACTGCCTGTTGAGTATCAGTTTTACTCAAATTAACTTAATGTAAACCAGCCCTGCAAGTTCCAACCTGGTCCCCTCTGCTCTTGGCCATAAATGCCTGGCCTGGGGAGAAAGGAGAGAGGCAGAGATTTACTCCCCATTCTCTCGCGCTACACAGCAATCCATCAGGAATGGACACCACTGGCAAATGGACACAAGGGGTCAACAGCATGTAGCCCTGCCCAGGTTGAATCTTATTTCTCTCTGACAGGTACCTGAAGGGCCTGGCTCTTTTCTTTACACTGGCATCACTTGTGGGCCCCATCAATTCTCCTTGAAATGAACTGTCTCTCTCCAGGTCATCATAGTAACTAGTGCCCAAAATTACTGAGATGACATCATAGTCACAGGTCAGCTGCAAGACCCCATTGCAAACCTAGGGGGGGAAATGGCTCTTTCATCATCATGGCACAAAGTTCAGTTCCTGCCCGAGCTCCTGAGGCAAGCTGGTAATCTGAGCACTCTGATCGTCAGAATAAAATGCAACGTGACTTGTTCCTCCTGCATTTCCTGCTCAGGTTTCTTTCTTCTATTATAGGTCTGCAGAAAACAGGAGGTTACTCAGGTCCCTGACCACTGGAACAGGGTGGGAGGATTTTGGAATAAGTCAGCTGCCAAGTGAAAGGTGAACAAGCCCCACCCAGGCACTGAATCATAAAGCAATGAAAATAGAGCTTATTCTTTATAAGCACCATGCGTAAGAGGCTGTACGTGAGATGTGGCTTGATTTGTTCAGTAAGTTGCAGGAGTAAAGGAGGAAATTGGCTTTTTGCCATGGACAGGGCAGGGTTTCTTTCCTAACAAATTACAGCTGAGCCAGAGTGCAGCCCATCCAGGCTGAAATGCCATCTCTGATGCCTGCAATCTTGCAGTTCCCTTAAAAGGAAGATTTTGGTCCAGGATAAATGAGAGCCTAAAAAGCTCCCATCTATTGAAGGAATGTGGCTGCTGTGAAGTGAACTTGTCTCACATGGAGCTAGGAAGCTTGGAGGAGAAGCACAGAGACAATGGCAGGGCTGGAGATGGTGGATGATTCCAGGTCCACTAATGCTGCTTCTGAGGCAATGTCAGTGATGTGATGGGAGGTTATACAATGGGGTAAATTAGGCTGTCTCCCATTTATGCTACTTCATTAGATGGATGCACCCGCCTGCCCTGTTCAAACCCCAATGCAAGTCACCTGCTAAAGTTTCACAGCAGGTAGCTCCTGTTTTGGGGCAGGTGATGATCACTGAACAAATACATCACTGACCTAGTTAGTGTTTGCCAGAACTGAGGAGAAGGTTCATAGCAGGAAGGAGCACCTTTACTGTCTCCCCCCTCTCTCCTGCTGGCAGCACAACGTGCCTAGAGCATAAATATTTTGAGACCTGGGGACTCAGCTAACAGAAAGTCGTTGAACTGGGCATCTCAACTGCCCCTGAAATGCTGTCCCATGCATCTCCTCCAAGGAGCCACCTCACACTCCACAGTTAACATCTGCCCCCAATAAAAACAGGAGTACTTGTGGCACCTTAGAGACTAACAAATTTATTAGAGCATAAGCTTTCGTGGGCTACAACCCACTTCTTCGGATGCATATAGAAGTGGGTTGTATTAGAGCATATAGAAAGCTTATGCTCTAATAAATTTGTTAGTCTCTAAGGTGCCACAAGTACTCCTGTTCTTTTTGCGGATACAGACTAACACGGCTGCTACTCTGAAATCTGCCCCCAATGGGTGTGAAGTGGAGAAAGGGAAATGTTTTTACCCTTGTGAGAACTTTGTTTTCTATTAGTCTGACCAGCTGCTTTATTTGGGGTCCAAACAATGAGGAATACGGCCACCAGAGCAAAAGACACTTTGACTTGCCAGTAGAGCTCTGCGGAGAACAGAAATTCCATTTCACAGAGGATTTTGAGATTTCTCTTTTTTTTTTGTCCTGAACAAACTCTGAAATCCTCTGCAAAAGAAAATCCCAAAACAGTTTCATTTCAGATCGATCAAAATGTTTCGTTTTGATTTTGACTTTATTTTAATAGTATGACAATAATTCTAATTCTAATATAGACTATAAAACAAATTAAAAAAATAAAAATAAAAGTTTTTTTCAAAAAGAAAAATCAAAATGTTTCATTCTGAAAATGTTGAAGTGGGGTTGTGGAAGCAGAAAAGTAAGATCTAGGGGTAGATGTCTTTAGACCCTTTAAGGATTGAGCAAAAAGAAACCCTAACCCTAGGAGATGCTGTTCTCACCTTTGCTTTTAGTTGATAAGAATGGAATGATGACTTAAGCAGAAACCTTGAGATAAGGTAGTGTCTGGAGGGAGTTTGTATAAACAAGGATAACCGTTAGCTGTTGATGTATGTAACGGAAAAGTATAAATACTTGTCTTTTACTGCTTGTAGGGGGAAGGTCTGCCTAAGGTCAGGAGACCCCCTGTCCGACTGCAGTCTTCCCTTGCAATTGCTCATAATAAACTGTCTCTGACTTGTTGCTAACAAACGCAGAGTGAGGACTTGTTTTCTTCCACAGGGTATTTCAACACTGTCTGAATTATTTCCCTCTCCCCTCATTTTATTTTCCTAAATGAAATTTCAGCAAAATCAATACAATTTCATGAAGCATTTCATTTTTGATGGAATTGCATTTTCAGCTGGAAAATTGCTCCAGCCAGGTTCTTCTGACCTGATCTACTTGTCAGGTTTTCCTCACCATCACCTGGTCATAGCCCACAGCCCTTCTGTGGCATCCCTCAAACCAGAGGCCATTCTGTCTGGTCTAACTGTGCTCCTAAGTCACTTGGATATGTTTGAAAATGTCCCCCACTCCCAATGATAAGTCTTCCTTACTGCTGGATTTCCCATCTTGTGTGGTCTTTTATGCTGTAAGTTGCTTGGGGCAGG